ACTGATGGAGATCACAGTCCTGCAGGACAGGAGTCTCCCTCAGTTTACAAATGTCCTAGTGATTTACAAGGAAGAAGCTTTCTTACCAATAGCCTAACTTCCAGAGATCTGTAACTCAGTTTCCTGAAGCCCTAACATCACCCTCCCCTACATGAAATTGAGGGAGGCTGAGGCAGAAGGAAATGTAAATAAAACTGATTTTCTTTTGAACCTGAAGCCCATTGACAAGGACATGTGAGAGGAGGAATGTAACATTCCTCCAGGAAACTCCCAACTGTCTTCATGTTAGTGCCTATTAGAGGGAAAAACAACCTTGGCTTGACAATGGCCTCCAGTATCCTGAGAGTCTTTAGCATATAACAATCCTTCTGGACACCCCCTTTGTCCTCACCTCCCCAACTCCTGAGTATATAATCAGCCACTCCTCAAGACCACAGGGCAGCAGCTCTTTCTGCCCCCGGGGCCTGTCCCCGTGCTTTAATAAGCCACCATTTTGCACCAAAGACGCCTCAAGAATTCTTTCTTGGTCGTCGGCTCCAGACTCCACCCCACGGAACCTCACCTATATTCCAAAACTGCATCATCGGAGCCTCACAAAGCCAAAGTCAAGGTGTCAGGGCCAGGCTCACTCACCGGGCTGGCTAGGACTGCGGTCCCTGTTTCTTGCTGGATGTCGACCAGGGGTCATTCTCAGCTCCTAGAGACCACCACATTCCTTCCCTCAAGGCCCCTTCCATTATCAAAGCCGGCAAGAGTGCACTGAGTCTCTCTCATGCTTCAAATGAGATGCTTCAAAATGCAGCAAGATGCTTCCAGTCTCTCCGACTTCCTCCCTCTGCTACATCTCTTTCCTTTTAAGGGCTCCTATAAGTACACTGGGCGCCTCAGATAACCCAGGATAATCTTAAGATCAGCTGATTAGTAACTTTAATTACATCTGCAAATCCCTTTTGCCAGCTATCCTATCTTAACCACCGGTGTGATGCTGGGAGATGAAGATACCAGGAACCAAATTTCTGCCTCCCACAGAGCTCTTAAAAATCCGCCTGTAAGAAAAAGATTAAATTCTCCGTAGGTGGGAAAGGAACAAAGGACTTGAACCAGAAGTTCACAAAAGAGGAATTATCCATGTAGAATGCTTGAAACAAAGCTTCACCTCATTAGAATACAAAGACATGCAAATTAAAATAACAATAAAAATCATTGAGTGAATCAGTTGGCAAATATTTAAAAGGGCTGGAGTGCAAGAATATGGTTATCCCAGGAGAGTAGAGAGAAATCATAGAATTTGTTCATGGGTTTGATTTTTTTTTTTTTTTAAACAAGAAGCATGCATTTTACACCTGAAAAAATTAAGATACTTTTATTCTGGAAAAAGAAAGCAATAGATGCATGGAGAACTTTGTAAAAACTGGCCCATCCATCAAGGATTTATCTTTATTGCAATTAAAGAATTCCCTTTAGGTTTGGGCACAAACTCAAGGAGGCTCGAGTGGAACGCAAGGCAGTAAAAGCATTTGGTGAAAATTAATTAAAGGAAACATTATTTAAAATGGAGTGGGGAGGGGGTGCCTTGGTGGTTCAGTCGGTTAAGCATCTGCTCTCCGGCAGACCCAGCTCTGAGACCCTGGGCACATCCCAGGTCTCACCCAGATGATTTTCCCATCTGTAAAGTGGGAAGAAAATTACACCAGCCTCACATGGTTGTTAAGAGGGTTTAAGCAAGGTGACACCTTGCTTAACGGATGGGAGGCGCTCAGGGAGCAGGGTGCCCTTCCTGTGGGAACAGTCTGAGTGCTCGGCCCCACTCACCAGCCCACCCTCAGAGCTCCTTATCCATCTGGTCCAGTGGAGGAGACAGGACTGGGAAAGAGGTCACGGTGACAGCACTTCCCAGGCCAGAGGGGAGAAGTCCTCTGCCGAGCTCTCCCCCTGTGTGCACCTGAGCCTGAAAGAAGTCAGTCCTCCTACCTGCTTGGTCCACGGGTCTTTCTGGTGCCCCAGACTGGGAGGCAATTCTGCAGGGGAGCCAAGGTGTGACCTTGACCTCATTTGATACTCTCTACCCCTGTCTTCCTCTCTCCTTCCTCTTGTACCCCAACCTCTGCTGTCCCCCTTCCTCAGGCCAAAGAAGGGAGGTAACTGCCACAGTCAGACGCTGCCCTAGAAGCACGGTTCCCAGATGCCCACTGGGCATGGGGCTGCAGGAATCAGGACACAAAGCTGCCCCTCCCCTGATGCGGACACTGCACACATTCAGGCTGTGGTTCAAGGAGGAGCCAGGGAACCAGAGGAATCCTGCCCACACCCCCGTAGACGGCTGCCCCCAACTTAACCTTAATTATTTCTAATATTGAATACACCTGCCGTGGCTTCGAAATTACTGTCCCATCAATATCTTTTTTTAATATCATCATTATTTTATTTTATTTTATTTTATTTTATTTTATTTAGAGAGAGAGAGAGGCAGAGGGAGAAGCAGGCTCCCCACTGAGCGGGGAGCCCGATGCGGGACTCGATCCCAGGACCCTGAGATCATGACCTGAGCCAAAGGCAGAAGCTTAACCATCTGAGCCACCCAGGCGCCCTGTCCCATCAATATCTTAATTCTTATCAAACTTTGGTCATTGTCCATCCCCCTCCATTCGTTCTTTTATTTATCTATTATTTTTATTCTTTTATTTATTTACAGTTCTCTTACAGTTGATTTAAATGAACTCATTTCCCCGAGTTTCACTGCAATCAAGCAGTAAATGTCTGCAAATCCAAACGATGTGCTACTTATGTTTTTTTCTAAGACACATTAAAATAAGTATGTATATTGGTTATCTACTGCTCCGTAACAAATAACCCCAAAACCTCATGGCTTAAAAGAACATCAGTTGGGGCACCTGGGTGGCTCAGTCGGTTGAGCGTCT